TAACTAAAAATAATAATAACTTCCAATAAGCAAATATTAAAACTTGAATGAAATTAAAATGTATGATTTTTTGTAGAATAAGTTCCTACATGTTTCAGCACAGAATGACTGACTGACTGAATATGGCAATGATTTTCAATTATATGATGTTCCGTGACCCACTATACAGTCTGTAACCAAACAGAATCAAATCATCGTACGAAGGGCGAAGAGCATTATGGGAGATTTTAATGACAAAAGCAAGAAAAACGTCGTTTCTTTTTGTTCCCACAATTTTCATCGGTCTCCGGCCGACCTATTCCGACAGAAGGCTAAGGTAATGTATACATGTATTACCGTAAGTTTAAGGTAAATCAAAAGGATAAAACTTACATATAAGTAGTCAATTGATCTTAATCCTCACTGGTCATAGCATTCTTGATTTCTTCTCTCTTGTCCCATCCATGTGTAGTCACAGTTTTGTAGACCTCTATCAGTAGATGAGGAAATTCTGTCAAGAACACGGCAGACTCAAGAATGAGCTTCTGGATGTCATGCGGTCGACTGGGCTCAGACACGTGATTGATAGCGTTCCTGATGAAACGAACTAGCTCAACAACGGAACCAGWATCGTAGGTTCTTGGGTTTTGGGTGTAGGTTTTTCCCTTTTTGTTTACTTTAACGATTGGACTCTTCATCTCAGCAACAACTTTTGCCACATTTTTGTAATTAGGATCATCCCACTTTGCATATCGTACAATGTTGGAGAAGTTGTTTTCAAGATCAGCTTCCACTGCCGTGGTTACATGATAAGAGGCTGCTTTGCTAGCATGTGGGCACTCAAATTCGTACTGATTACCAACAGCACTTAGGAAGCCCATCTTCTTATTAATGGACCAGAAAAATGGATGTTGTAATGAATCGGCTGCTGAAGGTCGCCGACTCTCATCTTTTTGAAGCATTCCTTTAATGAGGTGCGTGGCTTCTGGTGAAAGAGCGGGATACCATCCAGCCATTGTCATTCTTTCGTACCCCATGTTATATTCTGTTTCTATTTCCCTTTCCCGGATAGTTTTGTTAGAGCAATCCGCTGGGTAAAATGGATGTTTTTGATTTGACAAAATGAAGTGTAACAAGAGCCCACACGCAAAAACGTCTGACGATCGTGTATGCTGGCACGTGGTAGAACGTATAACTTCTGGAGCAATCCAGCATCGAGTGCCAACATTGGTACCAAGGACGGTGGTCCCAACTGTTGTCAGAGGGCTGCTCAGACCAAAATCTGCAATCTTAAGACAAAGTTTTGGATGGAGTTTGTAAAGGATATTTCCAGGTTTAAGGTCACGATGAAGAATTGGCTTGGGCTTGTGCTGATCCAAATATGCCAGTCCTTCAACAACATCTTGGCATAGTAGTTCACTTTGATTGGCATCAAAGAAGGAACTTGTAAAGTAGTCCTCTAGATTTCCCTCCATCAATTCTAGCACAATGTGCACAAAGTCCTTGTCACTGTCATCGAAGAAGATATAGCTGACAACCTTTTGACAGTCTGCCAATGCGGTCAGATTTCTTATCTCTCTTTTATCCTCTGGTCGCACAAGCCGTAGTTTGTGAATCTTCTTGATTGCAACTTCTCTTCCGTCTTTTTCGTTGATTCCTGAAAAAATATGACCAAACGATCCACCTCCTATCGGTTCTTTATGAAACCAGTAGGTGCCAATTGTGCCAACATTCTGTTTTCTTGAAACTCTTTTAAGTTTGTCTACGTAAGTCTTGGAAAACGAAGTCCATGGAATGATCATGGGCACACTGTCAGGGTCAACTTTCTTAGTCAAAAAGGAATGTAGTTCTGGGAAATTTTCGCACAAACCCATGCACAATTTATTATCCGCCTCGCGTAATAGTAGTTGTCTTGCAATGTTCAGGTGAACAGATGTTAATACTGTATCATTAAGTTCAATGTTAGATTGCGGTGAGCTTATGTCTTCAGGGTGATCGATTTTCCGCTTTTTAGGTGGTGGCTCGCTAGATTGACTTCCGTCTTCAAATTGAAATCTCTGTCCTTGATCGTGAAGCTTTTTGATATTGGTGCAGCAATGAAAAAGTGCATCATTAAGATCATAATCGGATGGAGATGTTCTTAAGTTTAATATTTTTTCTACGAGAAGCTGTTTCCAGTTAGCACGGGTAGACTCATCTTTACATATGGCCTCAACTATATTTTTCAGGATTGACGGGAAGGACACACAGGCAACTTCAATTAAGGCATTGGCAAGTTCATAGACCTCTGACCTTAGTAGAATAGTCAATATAGATTGCCCTTCGTTGTCAGAACTGCAGATATCAAGACCAAATGACACACACGTTTCAAAGA